AAACCTCGAGCTCCTTGGTACTGTAGTAGTTATCTCCAAGCAGACCTACGGTGACAAGACAGCATCCATTGGCCAGAGCTGTGACTATTGGCCAACCAGTAACCAGACACGCCTATCCATAGAAAAACTTTGCGTCCAGAAAATATTAAGATGCAAGAGGGCAACAAAATCGGTTTTTGTGATGTAGAATCGTTTGAATCTAACATGTATTTAGATTTCATTTGTCAGAAATGGTGATCAGCCTCTACCGGGCTTCGGAAGCGGCTGGAAAGAGCAGACATTGGCTACAGAAGTGCCTTGGCTACTGGATACTGTCTTGACAACTGGTTATGACGTTGCCACCCGAAAGACCTGCTTAAGTCGTTAAAGTTTGGCGAATTTCCAGTTTCCCAGCCAGAGAGGGAGTTAATCTGGTGCAGACAACCTTTTCCCCAGCCCCATTAGATAAGTATGGTTGTAAATAACCTGGGCGGGAACACCTTAGCCCACCCCTGAGGGCCCTCAACATAACGGCCTGATTTTACAGCTCCAAATATAGCGAAACAGGTCCCAACAAGCTGAGGGACAAACCAAGATGGAATGCAACAGGGGGAGGGAGAAATTGAATACATACTAACAAAAGTTATGAAGATACACAAGTGATTTCCAAAATCTAATAGAAATACGGTACAAAGGGCAAAGACAGAACTGTGGAAGGAAACAATGCATTAACATCTAGCATGATAAAAGAAAGGGGGAACAAGAGGAATACCCCCCCCCCGCAAATATTCTTCCATGGTTTGGCCCCAAAGCAAACTTCTACACCCTTTGCAGCATTGAGTCATCAAGTCAAGTCAAACATATAAGTTGTTTCCACCAGATTATCATAGCAGGCTGAAAAAAGGTAAAAACTTACCCAAAAGGTAAGAGAATAATTTTGCAATTGCTAGGGGAGTTATGCCACTATATGGTTTCATTTGGGAGATATAACTCTATAGGATCACTCTCCTGGCCAATTATTCAGCCCATTTTTGCTGATTTCTACTATTCATAACCCCTTAATGCCTAGTGAAATCAAACATACTCCAGACAAATAACAAGAGCCACACACGATACAAGGTCTCCTCTGTTCTTTTATCCACAGGTTCTCAACGTACAATTCTCCGTAACTTCCAAAGAACCAACCACAAACATTATAACAAACAACACCGAACAAAGGCCTGCATTAAGTCCACATGTCCGACTCACGAGGACAAACACTCGCTCTCGGGACGGATGTTTTCTTAGTACGCTGTAATCTTTAAGGGCAAATTCTGCTGACGGAAGACGTTGCCTCTCTTACAGGTACCCTTGAGAGTTGAACGCCTGTACTTAAGAAGTTAAGACTTGTACAAGATTTCTCAGCACATTGCAACAACACAGGAAGGCTCTGTAGTGTCAGTAGGATCACATCATGACACCGTAGGGCCACACAGAAATGATTCCTTTCATTTAAAAGCTTTTGAATCCATTCAATACGGTAAAACCTGTACCCTGTACAAGTGACCACCTCTACATATGGACCACATTATTTTCACATTGGCTCAAACATTACAAATCCTGCCTCAACCAATGCCCAGGTAGTAGAGTAGTCACTGTGGACAGATTTGACTGTACTAAATAACCAAAGACAAAACAATTCTGAACAAGAAATCAAGTTTGTGTGGCGATTTTTTGTTCTCTGAGACGACATCATATTCCGATTATTTTGTTCTTTAACAGTTAACATATTCTCGTGCCCAATAGTTATTATGTCTCTTACAATGTCTAGTCTGTAACGCATACAAACAAACAAACACAAACTATCCACAACAAAACACTACAAACATCCATCTCTGACGACCAACCATCCCCCCTCCTCTCTCCTCCAGTCTNTACCCCTACATCAAAAAATACATCT